AGTAACGAAATAAAGCTCTAGGATTTCGCTATTATAAGAATATCTAAGCTTAATAGTTCTACTATAGGTTTAGCTAAAGTCGGTAGCTTAGTATATCCGAAGTCTTTAGTTCGATTCTTACTTAGAGCTAAAAAGTAGAGTTAAAATTGCGTTAGTATATATACTAAAGCTAAATATCTTAGTACTAGGTAACGTTTATAGATTTGCCTTATTATATACTTATATTATATAACTAGGTTCTATATATATATAACCTATATACTTCTATAGTTCCTTACTTATTACTTTAGAGTTAATATAACTTAGTAAGTACTTTTAGTTATATAATATACTATAGCCTCTAAGTATATAATCTAGGCTTAGCGCTAGAGTATTACTTTTCGAAGGAAGGGAATAGTTATAAGAGTAGAGTTATATAGGTAGTTATATAATATCTAGGTTATATAGTAATATACTAAAGATTTATAATCTAGAGCTATCTATATTTACTAAGCTCGGATATTATACTTTTTTAGCCGAGAGGTAACGAAATAAAGCTCTAGGATTTCGCTATTATAGAAAGTTAGTAGACTAACGATACTAGTCTTATATTAATACTAGAGTATAATATACTATACTTCTAAGCTACTTAACTAAATACTTTAATAAGTATCTTATCGAAGTAGAAAGTAAGCTAGATACTTTCTAGTAATATTAAAGCTAAAAGTATTTAATAGTAGTAGAGGATTATAGCTACTATAAGCTTAAAGTATAAGAACTATACTACTAAAGTATAATACTATATTTTTCTCTAGTATACTATATATAGCTATATTCGATAGACTAGTAATATAGACTATAGTACGATTATTAGCTTATATTCCTATATACTATAATTCTAATAGTAGTAATTAAAGGAATCTTATTTATAGAGAATACTAAACTAAGAATAAATATATATAGCAAATCTTTATAATAGTTTATATAATCTAATAAAAAGCTACTATATTTAATAAGTATACTATAATCTACTATCGAACGCTATATACTAGTTATATTCTTAAGACTTCGAGTTTTCTTAAGACTTCGAGTTAGCTTTAAGTCGAGAGTAATAGTAAGTATAAAAGTATACTTTAGTCTTATATTTCGCTATATAATACTATATTATACGCTT